ATTGGTTTTTTAAGCATGTTTTATGAAGAAATACAATTTTACATTTTTATTTAATATTTCAAAAGAATATTATATTGTAGTTTTTGTTTGAAAAAAAAACACAACTTTAAATTTTCCCTTGGAAATAAAGTGTTAAGGTCAAAGGAGGTAATTTTCTATTTCAACCAAAATATGCCTTAAACCTATTAAGTGAAACTTTGTATGACAGTGTGTAGTCCAGCTACCAATCTTAGGGAAGAAAATTTGAAACTAGGCATATATTCAAACCAAGCTCCAACGAACACGGAAAGATATCAGAGACTCGTTGAGAGATTGATGAATCTTACATTTTGTCCTCTTTTCTCTCTTAACTTATAAAATCTTTTACATTTGTAACACAACTCATATATCTCATCCAATATTCTTTTTTTCAATTATTAAGAAAATTTAAGTTGAATTAAATTTAAAAAATTGTGAGAAAATGGTTTGGGCTGGCCAACAATATTGGCAATTTCATGAGTTGATCAAGTCCTTAAATTTTGGAAACTAGGGATGGCAAAAATCCCGGCCTTGCCCCGCCCTGACCCTAATAGGGCGGAAAAAACCCACCCCGACGGGTTGGCGGGTTGGGCGGGGCATAACTCTCCCCCCGTGAAGAGAAAAAATAAAAATAATAAATGGAACGGCAAACGCAGCAAGGCCACTCCCTGCCCCGCCTTAGATGGGGCAGGGGTGCCACACCCCGCTGCCATCACTATTGAAGACGGCCTAGGGCTAGTCATAATTAAATTTAGAAAATATGCGGATTCAAAGCTGCAATGCACCTGAATCATTGTAAAGCAGTCGGTTTGAACAAACCCACTCATTTTGACACTATAGTAAGGTCCTGTTCGGTAGGGATTTTGAAAATTAATTTTTTGATCGTTAGGAAAAAAGTAGGAGCCACCTGTGAGAGAAGAAGTCAAAAATAATGGTAACAATAGTAAAATAACGGTCAAAAAATCAATTTTTTTAGGTGAAATATCACTTCCAAACACCCCTTAATTAGAAGGTCCAACCAAGGTAAAATATAAAAATATGAATTTAATGTGGATATTCTCCCATTTATGTATTATAGACTATGTTAATTGAGTCAATCGTGTCAAAAATGAGAGGCTTGCATTCTCAACGTTATAAAAATTTTGGGATATATTGTTAGAGTACAGCAACCCAATTTCATTTGGCCCGTCATGAAAAAATTTGCAGTATAAGGTTTCATTGTATTAATATTTGGAGTAGTCACACATCTTGTACTCACTTTTGATATAGTAAATTTTTCCTTCTCTATCTATGATTTTTTTCCGTTAAAAATTTTCACTTAAATCTTTGTGTTAGTATTATTTTTCTATTGCAGACTCTCAGTTTTACCGAACATATACAAACGAGTCAACGAAGATATTGATAAAGAAACAAACAAATGGGAACATTAATTAGGCATACTCTCTTTTAATAAGAAAATACAAATGGCATTATGAGAACCACATTATTTGGCATCATTTATTTATGTTATAATGTCTTGATCAAGTTAGCTGTTTGGTGAACCACATTTCATTAATTATATGTTATATAACAATCACATTGAAAAGTACAATTGATTTAAAATTTAAATATTAGAATGTGATACAAAGAAGTAAATGATGTATGTATATGGTAATATGTTATATGATAATCACATTGAAAAGTACAATTGATTTAAAAATTAAATATCAAAATGTGATGCAAAGAAGCAAAGGATGTGCATATATGATAATCACATTGAAAAGTACAATTGATTTAAAAGTTAAATATCATAATGTAATGCAAAGAAGTAAAGGACGTACATATGATAACGAGTACGGAATGAAGACTTTAAATGTTATTAAAATGTGATGTAAATATAATCACTCGGAGCAACAAATCCTACTCAATTTCACAAAGAAGCGGAATGAGAATCCTATCCAAGAGGCAAACTTTGGCGGGTGGAATAAGCAACATGTTCAATCTTGATTGGGGAATTACTTGTTTGGCATTTTTGGGGGTCTTGTAATGAAAAACAATGCTAATTGACTAAATTACAAATAATATTATTATCAAATTGCAAGATTATGTGATTACGTTGGACACTTATTTTAGGGAAAAAAATAAATAATAATTAGCAAACTATTTAAATCCATTAGTTAATATTCTTCATAGGGATTGGCAAATTCAATGAGTGGAACCGAAATTTTCCTTAAAATAAAATTTTCTTGTCCAAACAATTTCACCCAATCACAATTCATTGAAGAAAACTGGTGGAAATTTCCTTGTTACATTTTTTAAAATTAATGTTCAATTATAATTATAGTAATATTTCGTTCAGTTACAGTTGTTTATATTCACATAGTGGTGATTATAGTTTCTGGATTCATTTTTCTTCATGTATAGAAATCTTATTTATAAATTAAACCTAGAGTAACAATTATCGTAATTTTTATTTTTTTTTTGGAGAATTACGCGAATTAATATTTTTGCAGAAATCTTACGCTACAATTGTATTAATATTTCATTCAATTACAGTTAAGACAATAAGTTGGTAAAATTCAAATAACGGCGACTGTAATTCTAGGATTCATATTACATCATGTAATAGTATGTGGAACATCGATATAATTTCACAAGAAATTCAATAGGTTGGTTCAAATCTCTTAAAAAACAACTAAGAGAATAAGATTGTATCAAAAATGCTTGTAAGAAGAAAATACAGGAAGGGATCTGTTGGGCTCGAATATGATTGACACTTTTGGGCTGTCACATTTAGGTATTAAACTTGGCCCGATGATTTGGATTTTAAGGCCTGACCCGACTGCCACTTCATTGTGTATTATCGCGTTTTGGTTATGCGATTTTGGTTCAAATAAGTGAATTGTTGAGATGATGACACGTGGATGACTGGCAGCCTTTGATGCTGGGTTATATGGTATATAAATAGATGAATATCTCTTTGGAGAGATGAATTCGCGGGTTTCTTTGTGATGCGTTGTTTATCTTTAAAATTGTTTCTCGTCTTCGTCTGTAATATTTGTTTTCTAATAATTTTTTAGTGAGTATTTGTAAATAGAGTGTGAGGATTTAATCACTTGTGTAATCTATAAAGAAGAGAGTTCGAGAGGAGAAATTGTATTATGAGGATTTTTTTTTTTGTTTGATACTTTGAGTATTGACCTATAAGCGTGGACACTTTGATCGTAATAGTGGATTTGGAATATCAACCACAATTATTTGAATGCTCAACGTGATGAGCAGGCCTTTTAATTGAACATCCAAGCCCGAGGACAAACAATCTTGGTGTTCTTCATGTTTTTGCTCAAGTTTTCGTTTAATTCAGTAATTGTAATACCAATGAGAACTAAAAAAATATAGACGATGAGGAAACGTGTTAGAGAGAGCTCTCAATCATGTAAGGTGTTGGGGAGAGAGGCTCTCAACTTTAGTAAAAGAAGCACTCACTTTAGTCGCCCCTTACATATGTGAGCTCATTGATCTTTGTTCGATTTTACCTTCATTACTTGGTAATTTCGATCGAATCTAGCATTGCAGATTTTGTAAAATCTGTCCAGATTCAAAGTGCCATCTTTGAAGAATTTCAAGTTTCTTGGAGGTTTGACGATCTGCCAGAATGGTTATGCAATGTCCTTGAAAGCTTCAAGTTTTTCATCTCCTCTTGGAAGATTTGAAAATGGTCAGCATGTCATATGCATTGTTCATGTAGTTTTATGCAAAGTTATGCCCAGATTCTTGGTGCTTCACTTTGGTGGTGTTAGATTTTATCTTCAAAACTTTGTGCTGTTTCGTCTTTGTTTATATTTTCTAGTGAGCTCGGCCAGTTCGGTGTATTGGTCAGTTTCGCTACAAAATATTTGGTTTGTAGAAACAAACTCAGCCTGCTCGAGTTCAAGTTCCTCACTCTTCAACAACTTTCTTGCCTAGAATTCCAGCTTAGGTTCGTAATCATTAAACCTCCTCCTTTCTGGGTTCTTGACTTATTCCAGGCTGCAATTGAGAAAGAAGCGCACTAGTCTAAAGGTCCAACTGTGCCGTCAAAGTTTTGCGATAAAGACCAAGCATATGATCCCCATACACCGTCACTGCTTCTTCTCCAGGAAAAGAAGTTCACGACCCGTCAACCTATTCGCCCATTGCAAATGAAGGAGGAGGATTACTCAAAAAGTTAAGGATTAGTAGTCTTTTTTAGAAATCGAATGAATTCGATCTTATACATATGCGAGGAAGGTAATCAAAAAGAAAGAAGATAAGTTCTTTCTTCCTTTCATCACTTAGGAGCAGTGTGAGATGCCCTTATTCGTTAACGGATTTTGTGCTGGATCCTATAACCTCAATGGGTATCCAGCTTTGCTTTCCAACAGCCTGCTCGCAGGGAATTTTGAGTTTGGGCTTGAAATCTAGCCTTGCATATTGGTCATTTAATCCCCCCCTGCCATACGGGTTTCTTGGTATTTCAGCATCGATATGGATTTTGCTCTTGACGCCAAAAATGCAAGGTGTACTGCCCATTCACAAGGTGTGCAATTTGAAGTCTCCTCTTCACTTGAGGCTGCCCAATATTCTCCAACTGGGAAAGCAGAATTTAAAGGCACCAACTCGCAGGTAGCCTTAATGATTATCTCAAAGGCACCGCCTCAAAGGGAGCTTTAATAATTAGACGAAGTTTGTTATGTTTGATTGATTTCCAGTCTCTTGTTTTGGTTCCTAAGACCAATTATAGCGTTAATTTTGTAAGCATGAGGATGTCTGGAGTAATTGATTCAGCCATGCAGCACAAGAATTTCATAGCCACGTATAATTTAATAAAAATTATCGATATTTGATTGCCATATAGAATTTCATAAAGATTAACGCACTGTAAATTTCAAGCCAAAAGGCCAACTTCAACCCCCAATAAAAATAATAAAATAATAAAATAAAAATAAAAAATTGCAGTACAAATTACTTGGAAAAAAAAAAACTAGATAACATCCCAGTCGAGAATTTTATTTGAAGTGGAAAAAGCTTCAAGTCCATGGCCATAGTTCTGTTTCTACGATCTTAAAAATTGACTGGGCTTCATGATTTACATTCAAAATACAGCTCAACGTATGTCAAAATAATATTTTCCTCCCAATTGCCACGAAAGTTTATTGTAACATCTATGTGAAGGCTCATCGAAACTGCATACTCACTTTAAATATAGACGATAATATTGGCATAAATTTTACGGACTTGGTCCTGCTGAAAAACTTATCAAACTGCACAAACTAACCAGACTATGCCCGGATTTTGGAAGAAACCCCGACAGCATTTTCCATTCGAGTATACCAATCACCAATCCTCGTATGCTCTACCATATCTCTACCTGACTTGAGGTATCGAATGGGTCTCAAAACACCATAGACAGCAAGGTCAGCTAAATTAGGCTTGGCACCACCTGGAGAAGGGACGGGAAAGATAAGTACGAAATAAGAAAATTGTCCCTGACTTTGATAAATAAAAAGGATTAGTTAGTTTAAAACTTATTATATACTTATAAGTAATCTTTTTAAGCATAGCCAAACATGCATAGGTAAACTTTTTGCGTATGCAAAATACTGGAAAAAGAAGGAATTGAAAAGACCTAGAAATTCTCGACCCTTGAGTGCATCAACCCATGTTTCCGCTGCTTCATATAATGCTGCACGCTCATCAGTTATGTTATGCTTTTTCTTCAATTTCTTAGATACAAAATACATGGCCATAGCTCCAGCATACTTTGCTGTTAATCTCTTGGTAAAACTGAAATTACCTGCACTCGATCAGATATGTATGATAAGAGTTCAATTTAAAAAATGAGGGAGGTGGAACGGCCAATGCAGCCTCTTCAAAGTTCACAGCTAACTATTCAAAGTAGCTAGCATAATGGATGCATACAATGTTGTTAAAGAACTTGATGTATGCCTCAAAGCGACTTGCCCCATCATTGATCAACAACCTCAACAATCATCTCAAAAACCATATTTGCAGTAATTATCCCTTTATGGTATATGCGTATTTCAAATAAAATTTTGAGCTAAAAAACACCGCACAAGGAATGAAATGGAAAGAGACATGACATGGCAATTTGAGGAACTAATGGATTTTCTCGACCCCTCAAAAACAGCAAGTTGACCCATCAATGATCGAAAACCTCAACAAACATCCGAAAAAACCACATTTCAGTAATTATTTCCATCTGGTATGGACATTTCAATTGAGAATTAGACCCAAAAAAACCCAGCAACACGAATGAATTGGAAATAGACTTGACATGGCAATTTGAGGAACTAATGGATTTTTCATGACCCCAACCCGTTTCCAGAATATGTATACAACTCATCCAAGAAAAAGAAAATGATGAGGGAAAAAATTAAAGAGATAACATACAGAGAGAAGCTGTCAAATTTAAGTTGGAAGGGCCTTTCAGGCACCACTTCCTCAATAGACTAAGTTACATTAAACTTAAGAATTTATTCTTTTAATAGATATCATGTGACCCAAAGAAGCTTCATTTGATTGGACCTTTTGATTGGATCTTTAGTAGATGTAACAATAAAACCAAAGGAATTGCAAAAAAATAATAATAATAATAAAAGACTGTGTATGTGTATAAAGCACAAACACGTCTTACCCTGCCCTTGCTTCCGCATTTTAACCCACATGCACAAGACAAAAAGATAGTCTTGCAGGAAATTTGGGTTACAAGAAGATGAAAAAGTTTTAATGTCAATATATTTGGTTTCAGCTACAAGAATTCTTTTTCATTATTCCATTCAATTTTGAGGAACTATTCTGAATGGCCCGAGGAAGAAAAATTGGATTACAAAAATAAAAACAAAAAATTAAAAAAAATAAAATATATATATATATTGAAAAAGGGGAAGATACATTAATCAAGTATGTAATAATACATGCTCACACCCAACAAAAATCACACACAAAGATACCCTCAACACCTGTAATCAGCATAAATTATCAATTTTCAAGTTCCATAATATAGCACGTGACTTATTACGTAATTACTACTGTGTATAAAATGTTATTAACTCTAAGACAATCTTGGGGCTCAAGAACATGAAAAAATAGAAAAATGAAAAGAAAAGAAATAAGCTCTCATCATTGCCCCTTCCACCATTTTGCCCTTTTACCATGTGAACCAGCTTAATATGCATAAATTTGATTTTAGCTATAATTTCACAACTAAAATAAATTTTCTAGGCCCCATTTTTAGCATACAGATAATTACAGGAGGCACCAAAGATATTTTTCCCCTCATTTCAGTGATTATACTTTGTTCCCTGTATAAGTGTGAAACTTTGTACATGTGTGCCCATGAAATTAATATATAATTTAATTTGCACCTGCATTCCTATAAAATTTAGCTGTAATTTTCATCAAGATCAATTTGGCCTATCATGACGATAACAAATCTTACCATGAGTGGTGATGTAGTCAAATGACTCCAGAGCTTCAGAAGTACTTCGATAAATATTTGGTGATAAGATATGCACCAAGTGATTGTCCACCCACCTGCAATAATGACAGTCAAACATCACTATTTCAAACCATGCATATAATACACCAGTAGTACTAAATCCAGATTCAAAGACCACGGTTATGTACCACGAAATTTCATTTTGAGATAATCGATGTTCATCAAAGAGAAGCTGATGATGAAAAGAACCAAGTTTAACAACTTCTCAGGCTGCTAACAGTTTGGGAAGAATAAGATGCTAAAACAGACAAAGCACATAAAAGTCTTAACAAGTGTATCACATGGTTCATTCCAACAGTTAACCTGCAAAGTACAATTATACAACAGTAGCAGCATGTTCTACAGGAGAGATAACAAGAGTAGTAAATGCATACCCACGCCACTTCTTCTCTTCATCACCTTCCAGTTGACCATCAGGATGAATCTTTTTGGTCAATTTATCAATTAAATCTACAAAACATGTGTAAAAAGTTACAGAATTGACTGAAACCCAGAAAAGAAATAAAAAATCATCGTGCTTATATCATATTTATCTAAAAGTGTCCAATACATTATGCCTTTAAATTTTCAAAAAAAAAAAAAACGCAAATCACGATGAATACCTGAAGAATTCCACCATTTGATCACCATCAACCATCAATATAGGAACTTTCTTGTAATCAGACCATTTAATTTCCTTTTTGCTGATGGGGTTGACCTCCACAATTTTGTATGGAATATCATAAAAGTCCAGAAAAGCTGGGAAAGGACATCCAACATTAGCATGAGGTCCATGACAGATTTAACGAAAAACAGATGATGAATATTAATCCAATGAAAAAACTTCCATACAGTCATTGATAATTGTAAAATTAGAAAAAAATTTGTCCAATCCAACTGATAACTGCAAATATGAGTTTAATCTAAATTTGTTTTGCCATTCACAGCCTAAATCGGATGTGATCTTGGAAACCAAACAAGAAAAGGAATCAACAGAACCTAGTTATCTTCTGAGTGTACCAAACTTGAGACTACTGTTAAATAAAGACATTTTACCTGGAAATTGTTAAGGTGTAGTTAATCTAATCCTGTTTCTGAAGTTTCCACTCAAAGCCTCTGAACTGAAATGTTTGACATCCCTCATGATTTCCATTTCTTCTATTATTTTATGCATAGGCATAATACATATAATGAACGTAATCCAAGGAATGAAAATCGATCAAACCATCCTGAACACGAGCTTTTTTCCAAATTAAAGAGGTGACAAAATTTAAGACCAATAATTAGTGCATATATTGAAGAACACAGTTAACAGTATTTCATGAGTAAATGTAAATCATTGAAATGAACAAAACGTATAAACACGGTCCTAAGGGCATCTCCAATGTGAACCCCAAATCACCAAATTGCACCATTTGGTGGTGCAAAGTTGCTCCAATACAACACTATATTCTGCACAAAAATGGTGCAAAGTGGTGAAAGTCTATTTTGCCATTTTCTTCTCCTTCCCAAATAATTGATAAAGGGTAGTTGTATCATTTGTGCTATATTTTTTAATACAGTAAATTGTTTTTATTATTATTTGCATTTAAAATAAATTTTAGATATAAGAAATAATCATTAATAAATTAATTAAAATAAAAAAATAAAATATAACAAACACGATAGTTTATTAAAGTTAACATGAAATATATTAAACAATGACATACATATGATAATCAAATTTTATTTAAACAAAACAATACATATATGAATTCCAAGAATTAAATTGCAAAAATTTTCAACTTCGTAATATCCAAATTCAAAATACATTATACTATTTTCTGTTGGCATGATTTAATATTTTCGTTGTTATAGTATTTTTATTAATTATACTATATTTTTTATATTTATTAATGAATTTAATCTTTTCCGTAATTTAACGTAATTATTTATTTAATAATTTATGTATTTATAAAATAACTAAATAAATAATATTTCAAATAAATAAATTATGAAGAATAAAAAAGAGGGAAGAAAATGGTTAAACAATGATCAATTGGTGTAACTTTTGGTGTAATAGTTGGAGATGAATTTTACTTTGGCACAAAATTTGGTGTAGCTCTGGAGATGGCATGATGTTCTTCCCTTAAATCCCACAAGAAAGAAAATGTTCTAAGAAAGATGCATACCAATCGAGAAGAAGCAGATCGAGAATAAAAAAGAATAGCACAGAACTACATCAATCTTCATATAGATAAAATCTTAATAATTAAGTACTGCTAAAATTCTATTCCAAATATATTTCTCCAAAAGTGAAGATGCATATTGTCATTACCTTTAACCTTGTTACAAAAAGGGCAAGCCTCGTACTGATAGAGAACGACGTCGTTAGGGAGAAATTTCGACAGCACATGCTCTTTCGCGTGGACCTCTTCAGCTGACGTCGAAACGGCGACCGAGAACAGCATGGTCCCGGCGAAAACGTTACGAGCCGATTTAAGGGTTACCTTATCGTAAGAGAACCAGGGAGACATCGCCGAGTAGTTGATGCTATTAGCACTAAGCAGAGCGGCCTGGACGAGTCGATGTTGGTGGTGGATGGGGTTTTCCAACGCCGCCGGTGCGGCGGATATGCGGCATACGGCGGCGAGTGAGCTAAATTTCCTCATTATTTGACGCGATCTGATATTACTTTTGGGCAAGTTTAACTGAAACCTCGATTTTTGTGGGTTTTGGGAGGGTTTTAGAAGCTTTCTATTATCCACATAAACGAAAGACGCTTCATTTACATTTCATTTCATGTTCTCTATTTTGCAATCCAAAATTAATTAATAAAAAAATTTAGAGGGTGTTTGTTTGACACCTTTTTTATGAAAAAATAAATTTTACAATAGTAGATTGATAAAGAATATGCAGATGAAAAATAAATTAAATTTTTTTATTTACTTGTAATATTATTTTAATTAAAAATGTGTATATGAAAAACAAAAGAAAAAAAATATTTTGATAAAAATAAGAAAATCGGACAAGTGACGTGATCAAATCAACCTGTTAAGCCCCCGTTTGGCCCCCATTTTGTAGAAATAAAAATTGATGGAATAATATTTTTTGAAAAATGAATGGTTGAAAAAAAAGGAAAAGATTTCAATTTACTTGTAATATTATTTTGTGGAAGATGGTGTTGTTAAAAATAAGATAGAGAAAAATAAAATGTAATGTGATACAAATTAATGGGGGCCTACCCCATTTGGCCCCCATTTTGTGGAAAATTAATGAGTCCGAAAGTTTTTTTTTTTTAATGAGTTGTTGAAAAAGAATGAAAAGTGTTCGATTTACGTGTAATATTATTTTATGAAAGATTGTGTGGTTGAAAATAGGAAAGAAAAAATGTAATGGAATGAAATAGAATAGAAATTAATGGATGCCAAACAGGGGCAATACATTCCGTTTGGCCCCCATTTTCTAAAAATGAAAATAGGTGGAATAGTGTTTTTATGAAAAATCAGTGATTGAAAAAAAAATTCGATTTACGTGTAATATTATTTTATGGAAGATTGTGAGGTTGAAAATAGGAAAAAGATAAATGAAATGAAATCTAATGGGGGGCCAAACGGGGCCTAAAACCTGATCCAAAAAGGTTCTGGCCCAACTAAAATTAAACCAAGAATAAGCCCCCCATTTGAATTCCATTATTTCAAATTTTAATGGATGGAATAATATTTTTTCAAAAAATAGGTGGTTGAAAAAAAAAATCGATTTATGTGAAATATTATTTTGTAAAAGATTGTGTAGTTGAAAATATGAGAGAGAGAAATAAAATTTAATTTAATGAGGGTCAAATGGGGTCTAAATAGTCATAGGGTAAATTGTACTTCTAGGTTAGAACCTTTTAAGGATTTTACGATAGGGTCATGAATCATTAATTTCTAGCACGAAGTGTTTCAAACCTTCAAATTGTTTGTCAGGGTCCTTTTTGAATGGAAAACGTTATATTATAACCACGTTTGATTCTCATTTTTATCAAATTATATTTTTTTCTCTCTTCTTTTTAATCACATATTTTTGTTAAAATAATATCACACGTAAATTAAAAAATTTTCCTTATTTTTATCTACACATTTATCATCAATCTACTATTTTAAAATTTATTTTTCGAACAAAATAAGTGTCAAAAACCATCTATAAGTTAAATGAACACCCATTGCTTGACGAGGAGAAAAAACCTTTTTGGTTAGCGAATGGGTGTAGGGGGCGGCGATTTGCGATGATGATGGTGGGAATGATTGTGTGTGGGGTTCTAATAGATTAGGTAGTGGGGTGGGGTGAGGTGGGGTGAGGTGGGTGAAGTTTTTTTCGTCTGTTTTTTATTTAATGACTACTAGTTTTATGTAGAAAATTATAAAGTTGTCATTTTGTCCTTGTAAATTTATTAAAATCTTGTAATAATCAATTTTTTGGGGAAAACTGGAAGCTACACCCTAACCTCTTATTTTTATGATCGCAATCCCAAAATTTTCATTTTGACTTGAGTAAAGGTCCATTGGACAAAATCTATCCATTAATTTGTTAATGTGAAAATTACAGAAACTAAGATATAGAGAAATTTCATTTAATAAATCATATGTTAGGTTTACTATTTCAAAAATAAGATGTTTTGTTAAATAATTAATATATTTTAAATATTAATAATTATATTACAAAGTTAAATATAATATTCATCTTGCCCAACCACACATACCAAAATCCTAATTATTTTTGTCCTCCCCATTATCTCCTCTTTGTATCCCAACTTCTCTCATCTCTCTAGTCGCTCGCGCGTCGCCCTCACTAGTGCCACCACATTGTTGGCACCACTACCGCTGGCACCACTTCGCCATCATCACACTCGACCACCTCACCACACCCACCAAAAAATCTTTAAACTTGTAACAGCAACAATTGTCATCGCCTCCACCGATGACATAATCACCAAAAATCCACCATCTTCATCTTAACCATCAACACCACAAAACACCAAACAAATCAAGAGAAATAGAGGAGATGTAAAATAAGAAACAGATCGCTCTACACCTCCAGCAATAGCAACGACTCACAATGTTGATATTGTCGGGATTTGCTACCGCGGCAAAGGATGGGATCTGGGAGAATTTTTGTAGCTTTGCGTGCAGCGGCAACACGATAACATCTTAAGATGGTGGCGATTTTCATGAGGTTGTGGCAGTGTTGACTATTCTTTTAGGTGTTTTTGTTGGTTGTGTTTGCCATTGGTAGTGGTCATTACAGTAGTGCCATCAATGTCAGTAATGTTGGTGCCTATGTTGTGTGGTGTTCGTGCATGGTGATGTGGCGCTGTTTTTTGTTATGGGTTGATTTGTTTGAGATGGTGGTGTTGCTGTTGTTACTGGGAGGGGGGTGGTGGTTTTGACGACGATGGTTGTGGATGGTAATGTGGTGGTGTTGCTGTTATGTCATAAATGTTGGTTGTGGTCACAAATTATTTGGCTGATTGTGACCATTAAATTGATTAATATTTGACCAATGAACAAGATAAATTGTAATTAAGAAATAATGTGTGATTTAAAAAATTGTTAACTTATGACTATATAATAAGTTGACACTAATAGCCCTTGTTTGAGCCATATTATTTTCATAAGAATGTATTTTTGAATAGTGTATTGATGATAAAAAATATGTGGTTAAAAAATAAGGACAATTTTGAATTTGTAAATAATATTATTTTATTGAAAAATGTGTAATTAAAATGATGTCAAATAACTATTAAGAATGTATATTTTTGAAAGAATATGGGTCAAACATGGCAATAACATTTGTGATTGAGACTGATAAATAAATTGTGACTTATAAATTTTTTATTTGTGATCGATGAACAAATTGTGACCTATAAAATTTTTTATATTATGACCATACAATAATTTGTGATATATAAAATTCTGATTTGCAATTAAAAAATAATATGCGACTAACTAGTCGTTAATCTATGGTCAAATTGTATAGATCTATGATGTTAATATATTTCATTAAGAAAATATATAATTAAATCATAAATAAATTTTAATAAATATATAATATTTGGAATTGAAATCTTTGTTCATAGTTTTTGAAATTAATGATATTTAACCTCTTAGTTATGAATTTTTTCTCTATTAATCTACCCTGAAATTAGACTCCATTTGTCAAATGTCAAAAATAAAATGGTCAATTTAGATTTTCTATAATAAAAACTTATAAATAATTAAATAACAAAAAAAGGTATTGTCCATCTTCTCCAAACCACCCCCCATCCCTTCCCCAAAACCAAAAATAGAAGATCCCGTCACGGCCCACCACCATCATTGTCGTCATTGCCGCTGCAAACTCATCCTCGATTTTATACCCAGGAAATTTGAGTGGTTTTCTAAGAAGATGTAATTGTTCAAAAACCACTATTAGGAACTCAATTTTCACTCTCAAAAGATGTTAAGATTAAAATGAGTAAATCAATGGGAAAAAAATTGAAAGAGAAAAAGAAAGATCGATACCTATTTATCTATATGCGATCATGTATGCACAACTATATATGAAGAGATATAGAATGTGGAAAGTGTGAGACTTTTTCTTACAAAAGTGAATTGATATTTAGCTAATTTCTTGTTCGATTTTTGGGAATTTTGCTTTCCTAAGACTGGAGAGGTTTCTTCCACTGTGCGTTTGATTTGTCTTCTATTTCAAACTGTTTACTTAGGTGGTGCTGGGTGGGATGGAAATAAGGAATTAATATTAATATATTTGTATTAAAACAGCAAATAAAATCTGTAACAGCCCTTTTTAGAATTTGGGAAAGGGGAGAGGGAATTGCAATGGAGGTCCCAAACTTTTTAATTGGCTACAGATTACATCTTAACCTTTTATTTTTGCAACCACAATATCAAACATTTCACTTCAATTGCAACTAGAGTCAATTGAAAAGAATTCGTCCATTAATCCATTAGACAACCCAGAAATTAAAAGTTTAACACGGATTGACAAAAAAAAGTGAGAGGTAAAATGGTCGATTTACATTTTATTTAATAAAAGTTTTAAAATAATTCAATCAAAAATATGGTATTAATCATGTTCTCCAAATCCTCCACCCTTTCCCCATCACCAAAATACCCAAAAATCAAACAAGAAATTAGCATAATATCAATTAATTTGTTAGAAAAAATCTCTCACATTTTCCACATTTTATATCTCTCTGTATCTATTTGTGCATACATGATGTCATATAGATAAATACATATTAATCTTTCTTTTTCTTCTTCATTTTTTTCCTTTGATTTTTGCATTTTAATCTTAACTTCTTTTGTGAGCAAAAATTGTGTGCCTAAAGTGGTTTCTAAACTACTACATCTTCTTCGAAATTTCTAGGGTATAAAATCGGGGACGAGTTTGCAACGGTGGTGGCAATAATGGCAAGGGTTGGTGGTGCGGGGGATGATGATTGTATCTTCTATTTTTGGTATTGGGGAAATGGTGAGGGTAGGGGTGGCGAGGTTTGGGAGAAGATGATCAATACCTTTTTAAAATTTAATTACTTTCAAAGTTTTTTATTATAAAAAAATGCAAATTGAACCATTTTATCTCTCATTTTTTGTTAATTTGAGTAAAACATTTAATTTCTGGGTTGATTAATAGATTAATGGATGGATTCTATCAAATGGATCTCGACTGCAGTCAAAGTGAAAATTTTGGGATTGGGACCACAAAAATAAAAGGCTAAGGTATAGTTTGAAACAAATTGAAATGTTTGGGATCTCTGCTATAATTTTG